GGCAGGGCGGGGCCGGGGGGGGGGGGGCCCCGCCGCCGGGCGCTGGGGGCGGGGCGAGGTTGGGGGTGTGTGAGTTCTGGGATCCTCCCTGAACGCCCTGGCACGGGTGCGTCTAGCCGTTCGTACCTTGGCAGGGAACCCCGTCGCTCCCCCGCCACCCCGTGCTGCTTCCAAAGGACACGGCCGTACGCACCCATTTTTCTCCCGCGTTCACTAAGCACCGTACTGCGTGCCAGGCTCTGTCCTAGGTGCTGGAGACGGCGACAGACAAGCTCGGCGCGGCCCTGCCCTCCAAGGCCCACCGTTCCGGATACTGCACAATGTGATCACCCATGTGCAGTGCGGTGTACGTGGGCTGTAGGAGTGCAGAACAGGGCGCCAACCCGGGTGGCGGGGCCTGGAAGAGGTGCTACCAGAAGGATGTGTGAACAAGCCGGCCTGTAGGGGCCGGAGGCTTCTAGGGATCCTGGGAGATGCGTGGAACCCAAAGGCGCCATGTGTATTTTATGTCTGCTATAGGGCACCTGTGCTTGCCGGAGTGAGACAGGGAACAAGAAAGCTCCCAGGAGGGATGGCCGCACAGGAATCCCTCCTCCATTCTCTCAGATTTGGGGCTCACACACACAAAACACTGTGTTTTTCAGGTCGCTAGGTTAGGACTGGAACTATGCAGTCGGCCATTTGGGATCCATTCGCCTTAACCAGCACACTACTGGCTAGTCCACCAAAACATATTTCTTTGATGTGTTCCGAGATGGCTATTCAGATGGTCTGCGGACATTCATTTTTGAAAGAAGGTGACCTTTGTAAAAAGAAATTTGCGTTAGTGAACTAAGCAGCAGATACAAGCAGGCTTTCCTGCTACTGCCTGCATACACCATTCCCAGAACAGGAAGATCAGAGCTGACTCCTGGCCCAGAGATCAAGATTCTTTGCATTTCTTCCTCACCTTTTGTTAGCTTAACTCTTGAACTCTCCTGCCCTCTATGGTATAAGATGTTATTTTTTTAAGAGATTTTTGCTATAGGGTGTGTGCACTCACCAGAGAGACAGAGACAGACAGAAAGTGAGAAATCACGCCCCCAGGGGGGATGGCCACCCCATAATCCTCTCTCTTCCATTCTCCTCTCAGGATTTTGGGCACACACTACATACCCAACATGAGTTCTAAGCCGCTAGGTTGGGGACTCAAACCATGTTCAACTATGTGGGGGGTGTCTAGTGATATAACCATTATGCCATCTGCTGGTCCTTTTTTTAAAAATAATTATTTTATTTAACTTAATTAGTTTTAATTTGACCAAAGAGGAACAAAGAGAGAGAGAGAGAGAGAGAAAGCAAGCCACCAGATCCGGGACTCAAACTTATGTAGGAGTCTACCACCCTTAACCACCACACCACCTGTCAGCCCCTCCCAGTCATTTTTAACCTTTCCTTGACCCATACTTTGAATGGTTCTTGTATGCACAAGTACATGTTAAAATGAGTCTCTATGTCTGTTTTCTTATTAACCTGCATTTGTCAGTGGTTTCTCAGCAAACCTTAGAGAGTGAATTCCTTCACCCGTCAGAGACAAGAGCATCCTCAGTTCAAGAATGACAAGAGTTCATATTAAGAGTAAGGCTGGGGGCCAGCAGGTAGTATAGTGGTTAAGGTGCTGAACTCCCACATGGCTGATCACGGTTCAGGTTCCAGACCTGGTAGCTTGAAACTCACTCCAGGTGCATGTGTGTGTGTGCCCAAAATCCCAGGAAGAGAAGGGACTACGGTGTGGCCATCCCCCTGAGGGGTGATTTCTCACTTTCCCACTCACTGTCTCTTTTCAGTGAGCGCATGCACCCTATGGAAAAAAACTAAAAAAAAAAAAAAAAAAGTAAGGCTGTAGTGGGCAAACAGGAGCCAGATCTGGCAGGATGTAGGCCATGTTAGAGTTGGAACTTGATCCAGTTAGGGAGATGCGGAAGCTGTGAAAGGTTTAAGGGGAGGGTAATGTGATCAAATTTACATTTTGTAAATTTAATCTCCACATTGGCTGCAGTGTAGAGATGGGATTACTGGGAGGATAACAGAGGAGGCAGGGATACCAGTTAGAGATAGAGACTGCAGTGACCTGAATACATGGCTAAGCTAGGGTAGTCACAGTGGGGTGGAGAGACGTGGATGAACCCCAGAGATATTTAGGAGGTCTAGTGAACATAACTTGGGAATGGGGTGTCCAAGGTAGAGGAAGAGCGATAGAAAGACTGCTGGATCCTTGGCCTGGTAGTGAAGGGAGCTGGGTCTCACATGGCCGACAGAGCAGTCCAAGTCCCAGCCCTAGCAGCTTGGAAAACATTTCGGCCCATGTGTATCTGTGTCCAAATCCTGAAAGGAGGAAGAAATGGAGAACAGACTATGGAGTGGCCCATGCTGGGGAGATCTTTTCTCTTCTCCCTTTCTCTCTGGTAAGCACATGTGCCATCTAGCAAAAAAAAGAAAAAGAAAGAAAGAAAGAAAAAAGGAAAGGAAAGGGAGATGGCTAAGAAGACTAGCAGATTCTTTTTTATTTTTTTAAGAGAGATTTTTGTTTTAGGGTATGTGCACTCACTGGAGAGACAAGAGAGATAGAAAGTAAGAAATCACCTCTTGTGGGGAATGGCTACACCACAATTCCTTCTTCATTCTCCTCTTGGGATTTTGGGCACTCATGTACACGCACCCAGTGTGAGTTTTAAGCCGCCGGGTCCGGGACTCGAACCGCAGTCCACTATGTGGGAATCCAGTGATGTACCCGTTACACCATCTGCTGATCCCAGACAAGCAGATTTTTATCTGCAGCAATTGTATAGCTAGCTGTGCCATTCAATGAAGGGAACACTGGAAAAGCACCAGATTTCACCAGAGGGTGAGTAAAGAGAAAAGATGAACTCAGCGTTTCTTTTTCTTTTCTTTCTTTTTTCTTTTTTTTTCTTTTTCTTTTCTTTCTTTCTTTTTTTTTTTTTTTTTTTTTTTTTTTTGAGAGGTTTTTGCTATAGGGCGTGTGCGCTCGCCAGACAGACAGAGAGAGAGAGATAGAAAGCGAGAAATCACCCCCCAGGGGGGATGGCCATGCCGCAATCCCTTCTCCTCCGTTCTCCTCTCGGGATCTTGGGCACGCACACACACGCGCCCGGCGTGAGTTTTAAGCCACCGGGTCTGGGATGCAAACCACGGTCGACTACATGGGAGTCCAGCAACATAGCCATTACGCTAACTGCTGGTCCCAACTCAGCGTTTCATAAGTTGAGTCTGGGTCTCCATAGGACATATAATAGAGATGATGGGGTGCTGTTGGATGGAGGTACATGTTTGGGAGCCATCAGCATGGGAGTGGATGAGACCACCTCAGAGGATATGCAGGATGAGGATGGGCTAGGATCCTAAAGACAGTAATGTTCAGGGATGATCAGAGAGAGCAAAGATCTATAGAGGAGACTTGATCAGAGAGAGCAAAGATCTATGGAGGAGACTGACGAATAGCCAGAGAAGCAGAAATAAAAACAGAGACCCAGCTGTGGTGGTGCAAGCAGGAAGTCACCGCTACACAGTGGCTAAGGGCACATGGGAAGTCTGAGTTCAATTCCCAGCTCCATCTAAACAGGCTGGGGTGCATGCCCATGGTCCTACCCAACTGGGAAGCTGGGGCAGGAGTATCGCAACATTGTGAGACCCTGTCAAAAATGCCTATCTTCGGGCCAGCTGGTGGTTAATGTATTGGACACCCACATGGTCGACTGCAGTTCAAGTCCTGGACCTGGTGACTTGCTTTCTCACTTTCCTTTTGTCTGCCTGTCTCTCTCTGCTCAAATTTAAAAAAATAATAAAAATAAATAAATAATTATTTAAGAAAAATACCTACCTCCCCCATACCCCACTCTCTCTCACTAAGAAGAAAACTATGGACAAGTGTCTCAAGTCATGGAGGCCAAGAAAAAAGGTATGTTTCAGGAAGTCCTTCCCTTTCATTTTGGTGCTTCTGCTCTCCGTGGTTTGGGGAGTTACAATATGTGGACCAGCAATACACGGGCAGTAGACCTGCCTTCCTCCTCGGAACCCTGGGAGGAAGCCATGGATTCTACCAGGTCTGAACCCCTGAAAGGCTCACCAGAGGTAAGCTTGCTGTTGCTTCTAGTTTTCTAAGGAAAACTGCAGTCTGAAGGGAAGAACTGTTTAATTTTTGGCTCTGCACAGCACTCATTATTTATGAAGAGAGGAGAGGTGTGTCATGAGACAGCCACAGGGCTGTGAACTGAACCCTGGTGCCCCAACTCCCAGGCTAGAGACTAGTATCTAGAATCAAAACATACTATCAAAGTACAGTGATTAAAGTACTGTGGTTGGGACCAGCAGTGGAGTGGTGGTTAAGGACGCTGGACTCCCACATGGCTGACCACAGTTCAAGTCCCAGACTTGGTGGCTTATTTTCTTGCTTTCTCTCTCTCGCTGTCCCTCTCTAGTCAAATTAAAAATAAATGAACAAATAAAGTTAAAATAAAATAATTATTTTCAAATTATTTTTAAATGTATTTATTTAATTTTATTTATTATTCATTAATTTTAATTTGACCAGAAAGAGAGAGCGAGGAAAAATATAGTAATTCTTCAAAAAAAAAAAAATACTATGTGGGACCGGCAAGTGACATGGTGGTTAAAGGCATTGATTTCCCACGTGGCCAACTGTGGTTCAAGTGCCAGACCTGGCAACTTGCTTTCTTGCTTCCTCTTTCTCTCTTTCTCTGTCTCTGTTTGGGCAAATTAAAAAAAAATAATGATAACAAATAAAATTAAATAATAAATCATTCTTTAAAAAATACTGTGGTATTGGCTTAGGAAAAAAAATTAAACAGAAAAGTTCAGAAACAGATCCATGTAGATC